GTTTAGGGTTTAGGGTTTAGATCAATCCTGGCTAAAGGAACGTTTATCTGAATCATGCATTTGCAGCGCACCTCATGTCAATCACGGGCCCTCCGGCACACTCGATTGCCGTAGCAGACCTTCAGTAGCAATGAAGCTGTACTGCCACAGGGAGAACAAGCCCGCGATCCAAACATGCATCCATCAACTTAAAGTAGTAAAAGGAATAATAATAATCATACTACTTCTACAATCATTAATAGTAACGATAGCAGTAAAAAAGTACATAACAGTAGTTATAATTTCTTGCTGGAAACTGGCCGCATCTGAGGCTGCTGCGCGAGCTGGATCAAGTCAGCCCAAGAGATCTTGGCTTCAGATGGAGGAATGCTTTTTTGACGGTGCCCTTCCCGCACCATGGCATGCAATGTGCTTAGGCAGAGGAACCGCATGGGAGTTTCTCCGAGAGAGGGCCCTTAAGAAACATATCGAAGGCACGCAACCATGAGAATCTGAAGGATCCTATGTATATAATGATGAGCTCTGACAGACTCCCACATATCGCGAGCATGGCATAATTAAGTGCAGCACCTCCGGGTACTTGGCCGCAAAGGGCTCCAGGAAGCCTGGCGAAGATGCTTTGAACTATTCCAGACATCAAGGGCACAAGACCCGGCTGTACCAATATTATGCATGATGTCCAGCCGCCGACACCGAAGCACTGCTCATGCTGCTAAGCCCTAAACCCTAGATAACCCTATAAAATGGTAGTTTCCACTTTCTTTTCCATTATCCCAATACAACCCCAATATAACCACTATGGAAACCCCAAAATGTGGTAGTGTCCCTAAGTCCTCCGCAGCAGCAAAAGGCCGGGCCTTTCGCCTTGTCGAGACCGGCATTGGCACCTGGAGGTTCGCACGAAGCAGCTGTGAGAAAAATTGAGTTTAGGGTTTAGGGGTTTAGGGGTTTAGGGTTTAGGGGTTTAGGGTTTAGGGGTTTACGGGTTTAGGGTTCAGGGTTTCGGGGTTTAGGGTTTAGGCCTGAAACCTAAACCTCTAGGCAGGCCTGGTTTGCACCGACAAGCTGCATACGCACCGCACCACAATTGAGTTTTACATGTGCGTTCTTTGTGTTCAGGTTCCAGCAGAGGCTAGTACCCTGGCAAGATAATGTAACGCAGGGGCCTAAATAGTTACCAACAGCATGTCGAGGTGTATTTGAGGTACCCTAAACTAAGACTATACAAGGAATCTAGGTTCATGATGTTGGAAAATCTTCAGGTTTCTACCTTAGTAGTTTCCCAAAAATAGGGGAGCCCCAATCTCGACTCCAAAATGCTATAATCCTTATCCTGGGGTCCCCGAATAAGGAACCCCTACTTTTGGGAAACCCAAAACCCTTAACAAAGTCCAAACTACGGCAGCCAACGCCCGGGGCTGTCGAGATCCGAGCACCGCACCGAAATTCAACTCGCCTGGGAATCGAATAGCACCTGGATGACATGGGGGTCTTAGGGTTTAGGGTTCTGGGTGTGGGCTTTTAGCTTTCGGGTTTAGCGTTTAGGGATGGGGGTTTCCATAAAGGGGAGGTTAGTATAGATCCCGTTTTAATATCGTACAGTTTAGGTCATTCCCCCTTAACACAATAGGTGCTAGCAGTTATAATAGCCTCTTCGTAAAACCCCTTCAAGGACAGTTACTGTGAGGGGGAATGACCTAAACTCCAAAGAAGGACCTAATTCTTTGGAACCCCAAATGCTTCAAACACGGAAATTCACTCCCGCGAGCCTCAATGTCATCAGTCCGTGTTATACAATGGAGAACCTAATGAAAAATCTAGTGGAATATGACATGGAAACCAGGGCTATATGGGGATTCTATAAGGATGCCTTGGGAAAATGGAAAAGAAAATGGAGGCTAAACCCTTAATCCTAAAACGCATGATTCTGGGTTGGCCCCTAAAACCCTTTGAAAAATATTAGTATATAGGGTCCCTTATTAAAGCCATTAGGGAAAATATTGAATATCCCAGGGGCCTACCCAGGATCATCCAGTTTTGCACCACCCTGCAGAGATGCTGCTCAAGCCTAGGGTCCTGCCCCAACCCATGAACAGTATGTACAAGGGGTCATATTAAGAACTATCTATACACTTGTACTATGGATATTATATGATAAGGGTCATATTAAGAGCTACTCTATATAATTTTACTACAAATATCATCCAGCTGTTAATGAATAGGGGCAGTACCCAAGTCAAGCCCATTGTGCAAAGGAATGCGCCGTTGGCGCCACCACGTGCCGGGAAGTCCTTGATGCGCCTGCAACTTTGTGAATGCAGTATGCATCTACATCCGGTCCCTACACAGAAATACTGAGTGCTGGCGAGATGGGGTGTTCGGTGTCAAAGGCGGGGGACAAATTCGCGAGATCGCAGCAATCAAGGGGCCATGTGGAAGCATCTTGGGACAGCTAGCAATGGGAAGCCAACACTGCCTGGGAATCTACTGGGCTGCTGTTAAGGAACTAAAATCAAGTTACTATATTGGGGAAACCAGATTAACTACCATATGAGCTATAGTCTAAACTCCTAGTATCCCCCTTAATAAGCCCTATAGTAGTCCCCTATATAATCCCCTATATAACCCCCCTTTAAGGAGTGTAGACTATGGCTCATATGTACCCATTATGGAAACTTAATTTTTGAGTTCCTTAACAGCAAC